GCTATGGCCTAAGCATCAAATGCTGCCATACATCTTAATTCTCAAAGCGTAGAATATTCATAGGCGCTCATGACAAGTAAAGCTATAATGCCTCGGCTGTTAACATCTGCCGCAATGAACGGGACGCTTATCCAGGCCTTCCTCCTCTCTATGCACGCGCATTTTCTTTGGGCGTCCCGGTGGGCGCCGTGTGCGCGGTAGGAATCCACGTACTTTTTCCACTTCCTTTTCGAACACGTCAGCTCAAATGCGTCCATCACCAAGTGGGTGAACCGTTTCTGCGTACGCGCGCCGGTATACAACTACCGTAAAGCATTCTTTTGTTTGCTGCCGCACATTCATTCGACACGAAAGTAGCGCATCTGCTTCGTAGTGACAAGGAAAAAGGAATACCTGTTGAAAGAGATGTGCTACTGATAATCAAAACGAGTCATCAAGGATACGTTGCAGAACATACCTGAGCAAGCTCACCTTGTACCTGCCACCGCTTGCAGGAGCACTCATGTTGCCTTATATTGACAGTCGAATTTCGGTCCTCCGATATCACCTCGAATTCATATTCAGTCGCACGTCGCACCCAGTAGTGCCTAGCGCGCTCGAAGGAAGTGCCGACCTTATTTTCAATTAAGGAAACAAATAGATAGGTCCATTCACCTGCCTTCCGTCGCCGCTTATCGAACCAGACCATCAAGTGCTGGCGGATCCTTTTCCTATAGTGTAAGTGTATTCCAAAACGCTTATAACATATAGTTAAAATCCATTCATCAGACTTCATCAACAAAACACCGCTGCATCGTCATCACGATCGGGAGCTCAAGGGCTTTCGAAAATCAATTGTTGAGCAGATTCGCGATAATAGAGGTCAGATTTCCAAATCTTTCTCCCATAAATGCGCTGTTGGCCTGAAGGGTATTGGCTATGCCCACAATCCACTCTCTAGCTTCGATTAAAATTTCTCCAATGTTGCTCATCTAAGCGTCCAAATCCACGTCAGTACTTGCATAATCGGCCTGCCACAAGAGCTTAAGTAAGGAGACATTTTGAATACCTTCCGAAATATTTCGCTGAGGAGCCGCATTCAAAAGCCATGGCATACACTTCAAAATAATTTTAATATTCGTCGACCAGCCCTTTCTGACGGTCAGAAAGGTAGGTCAGACGCTGCAAATTTGGAGCATTTGCTTCCAGAAGCGTCCATAGCTCTGATAAAAATAACAGCCAGTTCTCGTCGTTTTCAGCATCGACGACGGCCACTGCCAGCGAAAATAGAGCTCCGTCGCCGTCCACATCTGTCGCCGCTAGGAGTGTCCCCAATTACTTTGATCTAAAGTGAATTTCATCAAGATCCAGTAGTAAACGGCATCCGAATCTAAACCTGCAATCGACGCTTGGTAGGCAACAAAAAGGCGCCGAAAAGTTGCCCGGGCCTAGTCGTGTACACGGCCGCACACCTTTTGCAGCATTCATTGCATCAGCAAAATATACTGAGATTTTTGGCAGGCAAATAAAACGAACACCAGCCATCCACGGCCCTCACCTGTTTTTGTCAAACGAATCAACCTGCTATACGCCGGATGAATTCCATAATCGTTTTTGTAGGAGCCAAATTTAACTTCCATATTCCTCGCTTTCCTCTCCAAGCTTGCTCGTATAAAATAGTGACCCCACGCTCGCGACGAACATCCTGGATGATTTCCTTTGGTCTGTTCTAAGGGTCTTCACGCAACCAGGCCTCAAATTCACTCGCAACCCAAGAACTTTATGTTGGTGGCCAAGGTGAGTCACACCTTGACAAGAGTGTTTTATCCCCAAGTCCTGATGTTGAACGTTGGTGCGTCGGCAAGCTTTGCAGCAAGCAGCCTCGAGAATTAGCCTTCTTGCACGCAAGCCTCTGTAAAGCTTCGTTTGTCACTTTTGATCACCGCGAGCTCAAACCGTTTAGCGATGGCACTCGCTTTGACTGCTTTGCGGCAGCTCTATGCATTCTTAAACTCCTTTTTAACGGCAAGCTGATGTTCCGCCTTAGTTTGCGCGGAGAATCAGTGAGGTAGGGGCGCGGCGGTGAGGTAAAGTGATGTGATTCTGGTGTGCGCAGCGCTGTTTCGTGTACATATACAGACTGTAGCCAGGGGCTTTGTGGTCATTTATAAAATTGCGGGGGTGATTTCGTCTTTTTGGCATTTGTCAGGGGTGTTTAGGTGCTTTTCTCTACTATTAATCCTTACTTTTTTACTTAGCACAAACACGCTGCCGCTTTGTTGGTAGGCCATTTCTTAGTTTTGAAAATAGTTTGCACCTAATGAGAGACCGACAACACACTATTCACACGATTACATCTTACTGCCTTTAATTGCAACAGTCCACGTTTTCGCTTAAAGAAATAAAACATGCAACTATTGAGTATGCAAATCGCATTTTTGAAAGATTGCATGCTCACGCCTGTATCTTTCTTACATCGCTTGGAATATAGTCAAATGAGATCTAGAACTTGCAATATTCCGCATTCCCATCGCCCTATTTTCCCAAGCAGAGCACAACGATGCATCTAGGCGTAGTGAGTGCAGCAATGGCATTTCAGATTCTTTGTGCCTCCTTATGTTGTATTTCAATTATTTTATTACAGACTGGCTGCAGGCGGTACGAAGTAGTACCAGACGGATATTACATAAGGTCTAGGATAGCATCCATATAAGTTGCGATTATGGGATCGTTTAAAGATCTGTACAGAGGCTCTAAACTAGGTAAGAATCCAGTATGATGTGTACAATTTATCAAAAAAATACACACCATAAAACCTTGTTTTTTCCTACTCATGAACTTTGCTTTCATAATTACACGAATAGGCAATTATTCACATCCACATAGATCTTTGTGTATTGTAAAATGTTTTGACTACAAGATCTATTTCGTGTGGCCCTGAAAGATGCACTCTTGTCCAGATAAATATGACAACAATTTGGAGGCGAGTGTAAGATGAAGGTACGGGTATAGTACAGAAACATCTCCGATTGTTGAACGTAGAGAAAAGTTGTAAAGAAAAAGGAGTGTAATAACTGGGGTCGGTAGAAGGTGGGTTTATTCGGAGTAACAAAAAAGGGTGTCGACCTAAGGCTTGACAAATGTGTGCATTTTAAGAAACGGGTGTGATTTTATCAACTATCATTAAAAAAGGATACAGGCTATAATTTTCTACATAACATAAACAATCTATGAAGTCATATGTTATTGTGTAGTCGGTGTGTCAGGTTGTTCGAGTGCTTGCAAGCAACAACTAAGATCTTGTGAACTTGCGGCGTGATTCCATCGCCGCAATTACCTTACAATTGAAATGAATGCTCCGAAGACCATGGCTAGTCATCTTTTTTTTCAACTGCGTCTCTTACAGAGCCAATAAGTAAAAATAATTAACAAGAGATGTGCTTTTTGCACCCCATTTCCCAGAATTTAGTGGAGCGGTCTTATTTTTGGACACCACAAGCAGTAGAATTTAGCATTCGATATTTATCGGGGAGTATGATATTGCGTAAAGTATCTTAATATGAACATATGCCCAAAAGTCGCTCGAGATCCATCTGATCTCCATCCATCTTCCTTTTCTAAAGATCGAAGTAAGCCTGCTTGCAGCTCTAATATGGCAAAACCAGTGGCACCGGAAAGCTTGGGCGTGACCGTACCAGCAAAATTTACAAAGAAACGTGCTGCAACAGATTTGCGTCTACTTTAAATACGCATTTTAAAGACACGTATCGAATATGTGACCGCCATTATTGAAAAAGGGCCTGTGAAATCTTTTAAACCATATAGAACGTGAGTATTCTAAAAAAGCATGTTTTATCTACTCGTTAAAACGCATTATAACAACACTTTTCAGTAAAGTGTATATGTACAATACATTTAGGCACTTGAGACAATACTGATAACGTTTTAAAAAATAGAATGTTTCTAATTTGGCTCCATTTCTCGTGACTTATCTTTAATAAGCGATGAACTTGCTACTCAGGCGTAAATGTCAATAGGTGAATCGATGGGCGCACGCCCCCCCTAACCGCTACGTTGTAATCAATTTATTTTTGCCTACATTATTTTTGTGCTTCTTTATAGAATATCGAGATCATGCAACTTAAACAAATCGTACATTAGGGAGTAAGAACTTCCGAACAATTAGATTGCCTGCTTCTCGAGAAGTTACGTATGCCTAAGATCAAAAATACTTAAAAAGGATAACATGAAGTCTATGGTCACACGTAAAAAATGGTGCAACAAGTAGTAACTAAAGTTGGTGCAGCGTAGATGCACTGCACATTGGCGGAAGATGTACGTGAAATGGTTACGACATGGTTCAATGAGCCCTTCTAAAACATCTGACACGCGAAAGGCCAAAATGATGAGGAGATGGTGTAGTGCGAATGCCAGACTTGTAAAAGATCAGCAATAACTGTTAGCTTGAGAATTCGGACCATTGCAGGCTGACAATGATGAATTTAACTGCGTTAAATTAATAGAGTAAGGAAAGAATGAAAGAAGGATTAAGTATGTTTTAACTAATGGGCGCCATAACCGGACTTCCTGGAAACGGCGTGCAGGTATCTTCATCGCTTGGTGCATGATCACTTAGATCTTGGTTACCTTCACTGTCATCCAAAACGTCAATAACACCAGGAGTTCCTTCGCTGCATGGTCGATCAACCACAGTTTTCGCAAATCTCACACTTCAAAAAATGAATACTTTTCCGGTGGTTGTGTCCAGGAGTCGATATGCTTTGTGCTGCTTGGCGTATCCGAGCAGCATACACCGTACACCCGAGGGGTCCAGCTTAATTCGCTTCACTTTAGGAATATGCGCGTAGCAAAGGCTGCCAAAAACTCGCAATACATCAATACGAGGTTTGCGGTTATAGACCATCTCGAATGGGCTTGAGTTTGAATTATATGCGCTCGGAAGTACGTTGCAGATATCCTTAGCAGTCAGTATTGCCTCACACCAGTATGTACTGTCCATCTTAGCCTCGCTCAGCGTACAACGCGTCATCTTGATCCAGTATGCGGTTCAGTCGCTCTGCCATGCCATCCTGCTCCGGATCGTAGGGCACTGTGAACTCCTGTTTGATCATCTTTTGCCGACACAATCTAGTCATATCGTCATTTCGGTACTCAGTGCCATTTTCACTGCGTAGTACCTTCACGTCAAATCCGCATTCGAGCTTGATATCGTGATAGTACCTGTGAAACGATTTGGTGGCACCGCTCTTCTTGCGTAGCGTAAAGGCCATCGCATAGCGTCTTTTGTCATCATCATGAACGTCTCGATGTAGCAATAGTCCGACCTTGATGCTGGTGTTATTGGTCTTAGAACATCCGAGCAGACAATTGAGTCTATACGTTGACTCTCCCTTGCTGCAGCATCAGCCTCGATTATTACTGAACGTCTTGCGAACTTGCTTGGCTGTCGCACAAATGTCACAGACAACTTTCGGGTTCATGATTTTTCCTTTGATGCAGCCTTCTTTTATCAGCTTGTTCACGGTCGAGTATGACACGTGTCCAAGTCGGCGATGCCACAGTACAGCTTCGTTTTCGAGCACATGGCATTGTGGAACCTTTTCGACATTCAGTGTTAAAAGCATTCCACGTCGTACACCTGTTGCGACGATTTGCCCGCTTTCGACATACAATACACCCTTCACTGCTATACTCAATCTTCATCCCGCGCGCAGTAGCTGCTGTCAGCGAAAAAAGGTTCTTGTTGAGGTCTTGCACGTGAAGTGTATTCTCCAGTCGTGCATGTATCCACAATGTGCCGTTCCAAACACGCAAGAACACCGTGCCTTGTCCAAGCACCTTTTAGCTCGCATTGTTTTTCGCGCCATTCACGTTGCAAGCTGTCGACCATTCCGCGTACATCAATAAACACGTCTCTATCCTTGCACATTTGTGCCGTTGCGCCGCTGTCCATGATACAGCAGTCGCTCGTATTTTCTTGAGTGGCGTTAAACGTTACGTTAGAGTGATCTTCTTGTCTCTCGCTACTATTACATTTCTTTTTCGGCAGTCGAGTGCGTAATGTCCGCGCTTAACACAATTTAAGCAGTGAACACCGGAACCTGTACTGTCGCTGACAACCGCTCCATTTGTTGTAGTTTTCTTTATCTGTCGTGTTCCGGTATGCAAAGCTTTCTCGTCTTCAATGCGCAATGTATCCTTCTTGCGCACTTCCTTCGGCGATCAGCTTGCTCACCAGATCTTTAAAGCTGAACTGCATGACAATCAGGCGAAGCCTGCACTAGACTCTCGTATTGTGCCGGAAGACTTTGTAGCAATGCTGCAAACGTGTCTTCTTCACTCGGTCCACACGAAGTTTCATTCATCTCTAGCACGAGTCGCTCCAGCTCCATGATGTGAGTGCTCATGTCCGTCGCGGTATACTTGGATGTATCAAACCTCTCTTTCAGCCAAAGCCGACTTGCCATGTCTTGAGTCCGATGTACTCGTGCGAGGGCTTCCCATGCTTCGCGTGCACTATCCGTTGTTATATCTTGCAGGAGCTGAGTATCGCCCAAGTTGAGCACGATTGCCGCAGGCTTCACCTCGAAGACGACAGATGTGTCGCTAACCGCTTCCCATAACCCATTGGAAATGAGGTACATCTTCATCTTGAACGCCCATAACGGATAGTTGGTACAGTCAAACAGTGCCACCTTGGGCGCGGAGTCGTTACTTGGGCTCATAACCTGTAAAATGTTAGCGGAGCGTTGAAGTGAAGAAGACTTGTTGATCGAAGCAGCAAAATCAAAAGTGAATTATGTTATGCGTTGAATCACGTTCCTACCGTTGCCTATCATCTTTTCTGGTCCGTCCTTCTTTCCAACAGTTTTATCAAATTAGAGAATGTCCTTTTTCATGTTCCTTTCCCATAAACTAGTTCTTCCTTTTTCATGTTCCTTTCCCACTAAACAGTTCTTCCTTTCTCATGTTCCTTTACCATAAAACCGTTTTATTATCCGGTGATTAAAATGGGGGACGTCGCTGCCTGGCAGGACAGTGCTGGTAAACCCCAAACACCAGGACCCGAAGGTTAACTTCGCTGACGGGATCGAACCGGTGACCTTTGGTGTATTGCTGCCACATTAACCCACTTAAGCTACAGCGTGATGAAAAAAAAACTTGGTATTGTCCTATACGTGTAATACTACTTAGAGAAACTACACGAACACGCTTATCCCGACGCATGGTCCATTCCATAACGCACATATCGCTCACCGATTCTTAACACTCTCCCTTATTGCGCACATACGGGCGTTAAATTTCCTACACTTGTGAGTACAGACCTTGCAGAAAAGTTGCATGCTTAGTCCGCCTAAGCGCCTTCGTCAAGCCTCCCACAATCATCTCGTCTGTTAGCTTGTACTCAAGCTGGATGACGCCGTCCTCAACCTTGCGCAAAGAAAGTTAAACTTTATGTCGATATGCTTTGTTCTCGTATGGAAGACTGGATTAATTGCTAGCGCGATACAACCTTGATTGGCTTTAAAGATAGTCGTCGCCGCTTCCATTTCAAAGCCAATGTTAGACAGTAACGGGCTTAGCCACACCGCCTCTTGTGCTGCAGCGTACAATGCCATATACTTAGCTTCGGTGCTAGATGTCGCTACTGTTGATTTTCGCTTCGATTTCCAGGACACCACGTTGCCATACAAAAAGAAAATGTATCCTGTCGTCAATCGGCGAGAATCCAAGTCGCTCGCCCATGATGCATCTGCAAAACCTTGCAGCTCTCCCTTGTCCTTGCCGTGAAAGACAATACTGTAATCCGCTGTCGTCTTTAGGTATTTAAGAACGCGCTTGGCTGCGATCCAGTGGCTTTTCTTATATCACGCGTAGTACTTGGCCACTTCTCCTACCGCGTGCATGATGTCTGGTCTTGTGCACGTTGCAATGTACATACGTGCACCAAATAGCTCACGGTTAGGCCATTTGGGTAAAAATTTGTCATTGTCGCCCAGCTTGGTCAGTTTATCACTTCGTTTGACGGTGTGTGCATGTGCTTACATTGGTTGATGTCATGTTTCTCCGCCAAACGCTTGATATAAGCACGCTGATTCATGCTGATTGATTTGCACTCGTAATCACGTGACAATTCGATGCCGAAACAGTTTCTCAGCTCGCCTAGCTCCTTGATACTAAACTCGGTCTTATGTGCACGTTTGATGTCATCAATGTGCTCTTGTGTCCGCGCGAAGAGCTCAAAGTCGTCAACGATGGATGACTCATAACGAGACTAAATTGAGCATCTGACCGTCGTACATATACACAAAGATCAGCAGCCGTACGCGTGAACCCTTGACCTAATAGGTGGGCGTTCAGACGATATTTCATTCTCGTGCCGCTTGCTTTGTACCGTACAAAAACTTGTTGAGTAAACGTTTCTTGTCACGGTGTTTGTAACGGGGCACCCTGAAGCTTGTACTGGTGACATTACAAGCTACTTATTCTGATAACAGAATAAGAAGCGGTGCCGACATCGACATTAACCTTTGCATCGTACACTGCCGTACGTGCAGAGGAAGACAGTAAGGAGAAGCGAGTACTTGGTTAAAGTACAAAATTGTCCACCAGAACCGGTACTTTATAATAGTTAATGTCGTGCAATAAACTTCACTATTTATCTTCATCTAACTATGCTCTAAATACAAATGCTGTAAATCAGTTTGATCTGCTGACCAACTCATTGCGTGCGTCCCTGTCGTGGCGTGTCATTCGTTGGTTGATATAATGTGGCACGCATCCATATCAACCAATTAGGAACTACTTGGAAGTGCTACAGAATATTTGTCCTTATGACAATATTCTGAGCTGAAGCAGTATAGTGACTCTTAGCTAGCGTTATAGTCGTCGAGGTTAACAATTTCTCCCATAAATTGTTATGTAACGATTCACCCCGTTACAGCTTGTTTCTCCCGTACTGGTCTCACGTGAGACTCTTGTTCGCCGTCTCGTCCTGGTATGCTTGATTGTCGTGTCGGGATAGAGCCGTTTGGTTTTTCGTTGCCCTTGTTCGGTCAGGCGTCTTCATTACGCGGCTGCGGTGCTATGATTAATGCGGCAACCTTTAATGATCGAGCTCGTAGTTATAAATAAAAATGGCTTTGGCCACACGATTTTTAATTTCTTTGTGCTTACGATCGTTGGTTTCTACACACTTAACTCGATCCAATTCGACTTTTCACCTCCACTTTATTAAGAAAATTCAGATCCTTTGATAAAAATGTGAAAAAGATATTCATATATATAGGGAATCGCTAAATTCACACCCCTTTTCCTTGGATTCACACCCTTCCTTCAGATCTTATTTATAAAATCCCTATTCATTTTAAAATTTGTTTTCTGGCAAAGGTATTACTCGATATTACCTTTGACGCGCGAGCTCGAGAAGTACACGAAGCCGACGGGGTACGTTTGCCGTACCCATCTACGTAAACTCCTTTGGGTATTGAATTTGCTGTCGTTTAGGCTCTGCCCGAGCTGTCCGTAAGAGCTCAATATTGCGCGCCATCTGATCGTCGACCGCAAACTGGCACCGCGCTTTCATGGCAAAGAGATGAAGGAGGAGAGATTCACTCTCGTGTGCCCGATCTGCTCTATGGTGAGAGAGAGAGAGACGAGAGGAGACTGCCAAGGTGATCCATCTAATGACCGGTTGGCGCTGCATGACGTTACGTTGTTTCTAGCTCTACCCGGGAGTCTGAACACGTCGAGCTGCTGCAAGAAACCCATTTGCTCCGAGTGCTATCTACAGATTCGGCCGCCACGCAAAACGATTAAGTGCGTGACGACAGTTTGCTGTCCAGAGACTCGAGATTGATGGATTCTGACTCACCTGTCTTTTGTGTGGACTGTATGTAGCCGTCCATTTTGCAACCATGAACGGTTCACTGTCCTGTACACGCCACTGACACCGACAGAGCTCACCTCGACCCATTCCGTGACTGTAAGCGCAGCCCCTGATTCTCTTCTTTCACTGTGCGATTATGTGCTAAGCCTCATGTTCTGTATTACATCTTAGAACGGAATGTTTCCGCGTCGAAGTAGCGCCATTGGCATCCCCAAGGCTACAGAAACAGAGTGCACAATGACGTCAAGTCTGCAGAGTGTGCAGTACGCGTCAGTGGAAGACCGTGATCAGATTCGCGATTCGCTTTGCTTGCATCTTAGCATCAGCGACAAGCCTGTGACCAACAGTCCACACCCGAATCGTGTCGCAGCGCTGAATGATGAAGCGTCCCGCGTTGCGACAACTCCCGCAGACGCTGCGCGGCTAGAGGAACTGATGCTCTTGGAAGCTATCCGGTGGTCGATGCAAGATATTAGCGTCGAAAAAAACGACGAGGAACGAGGGAAATGGCAGAATTTTCGGCTACCTACCATCGTGAGTGGAGGTGCCGGTGAAGGGCTTGACTGCAACGTCGGCTGTGCTAACGGTGTGGTGCTGAACGCATCTCAACTCAGCGTTGACGCCCGAGATGTGCTACACTATCCCTCCAGCTCATTTACATCTCACTTCCGCAAAAATGCTGGGCCCCCAGTGCAATCGATTTACACACCGAGTTGGTATTGCGGCAGCGATTGAGTTTAGGTGTCGTAAGGCTTGGTGCAGACAAGGATGCTTCAGGTTACGGTAGTGCCCACGGCTGTGGGAAGATGGGTGATGTGCTGGGTAGTATACGGGCGTGCGAACGAAGTGCGAGAAGGGCAAGGACGCGAACGAGTACGAAAACGGTATGCTCGTTAACTTATCTGAAGTCGTCATGCTCAGCTTATCGTAGTCATCCATAAGTTTTACGCTAGCAGAGTCATCACATTGGCTTTGGCGTGCACAATTTTAATTCATCAGGCGTCTCTCTAGCTGTTGCTGTGCAAGTTCGATTATGTAATTGACGTTTGGCTGAGAATACTCACGCCTGTGGTCACTGAGACCACAGGCGTGAGTAGTATCTTAGGTATTTCTTACGGATACTTAACAATTAATGGCCTAGATTATCAAGTAATACCTTGGTCAGAAAACAAATCTTAAAATAGACATTCTATATATAAGATTTTGAAGGAAGGGTGTGATGCTAAGGAAAAGGGGTGTAAATTTAGCAATTCCCAAAATGTATTAGCTCACCAAAAAAGCTGTATTCAGAGCCAGTGTTAATTGGAAATAATCGATCTGGAATTATTGCCCGAATTATTTTCATTCGTCATGTTTCACTTCAGAACGCTTGATTCAATTTGTAATGTAATAGATTATCTCGTTTCATCGTTAACTCCCTAGATATCTTTTCAGATGAGTACATGGACAATGGACATGATGTTTTTCGAAAAAAATGGAAAGAATGAAGAGATTATGATTCATCAAAGATACACATTCTTTAATAGGAACTTATGATTGCGTTTCGACAAAATTCACTACTCTGTTATGTTGATGTTAGATAGTAAAAATGATGCACCGCGCTCTGTTCAAAGGCGGTGTAGTTTTAGATTATGTACATTTGTTTATCAAGCTTCTCGCTAGCTAACCTCTTATAAACATAAACGCAAAAAATAAGATTAAGTGAAGCATGGCTTGTCTTTGTGCTGATATTGATCTTGTAATTGAAAATCACTCTTACCATACACCGCAATGCAACGTTAGCTTCATCATAGCCAGAATTATTGTCACCGCTTTTTTTGGTTCCCAACTTATGATCACAAAATGAACGAATGATGTCAGCTAGTTCTGTTGTGGTTTCCCCGCTATAGGAACAGGAATGCGAGAAACATGTCTTCCACGTTTTTGCTATATCGTACAGTCTGTTTAAAAGCGCTATAAAGGTACGTATAATAGAGGGAGGAAAAAGTAATCGATTTACCTTTAGTATGCTGTAGGTGCAAATGACAATGTCGTAGATGTCCCGAACGGTCAGTTGTGATCTTTTCTATAACGGATAGACTTCACCGCATAATTACGAGCATTTCGCACCGGTAGAGACCACAATTGTATGTTGAGAAATGTGCGCAATCGCCCTCTCCATAGCTGGATCTTAGTACATATTCGCAAGAAAGATTACCTCTTATAATCTTAAAGGTGCCTGGTGATATTGACACAAAGATAGTAATGTTTCGATTGGCTCATATTGTGCTTAAGCACGACCAAACTATACCGTCAGCCCATTGTTGTCGAACAAAGGCGGAAATCGAGATTTACATTGTGGATGTAGAAAGATGTATCAAGCAAAATAACGTCTCCAAATACATTGTATAGCTCGAGCCACCATACTGATCCAAAATGCCCTTATCGATCAAATCTTTTAAGCTGTGGTGCGCTCGAAGCAAAACATATCTTTCTCACGAATTCGATGAGATAAACAATATCGCGTTCCAAAGTTTTAGATCTGTCTTTCTAACATTATATGAATATGAGCATCAACGCGATACAATTGAACTCGCGTTATTGAAAAAGGTAAATCCTTTTTCATAGAGAGAGTGGTGATATGAGACGTTTTAATTTAAAGAATATCAACTCTGTTACGTCTTCATTCACATTCTTTGGTATAACTATATCTATCTTGCTCTAATTCATCATATGCAGCCATTTCATAGATCTCTTATATTCTTTTAACTTTAAACTCAAATAAATCATACAAAGTGCGCTCCACCACGCTCGTTCTATGGTCGCTAACTCAAAAGTGTTATCCACTTTTTTGTGATTTTGATTTTTCCGAGAAACAAACGATTTGAAAATATTTACTCCCGAGCCAAGCAACTAATATTCTTGTATAAATGTGCACGATTGTTGGAAGATTTAATGTCTAAGTGTACTAAACTAATAGATACTCGATATCAGGAAACTTTTAGTGATGGAAGCCATTCGGATGAACATCCGTACTACTATTCACATTGGCAGTGAAGGCAATATAGACTCGTACCTAAAAAAAGAGGAAATACAGTGATGTTAGGTTAAGACATTTTAAGCTTTCAATTTTTGGGGAAAAATTCCCCTGACTATTTTTTTTTAGACCCTTAATTGCTTTTATGAAATTGCATTATCGGATTAGTGTTGTATCGTATTATGTGTATTCCAAATTTCACGTTTTACTAACAAACATCAGGCGGAAAATCCATATTGTATCAAAAATTGAGCGCTTAACCCAATGCCTTTGCAGAGCTAAAAAATTAACAAACACACTTAATTGATTTATACACAACGCACCCAGGACAGCTTCATTCCACCAGGTTGTTAATCTGGCAATATCCCTTTTATACATTCTTTTGAAATTTGAGGCACCATCCAGCACCACAAGTAATTTCATCCATTGCTACCGTACTATGACATCATTTTTTGTATTCCGTGACAGACAATGAACAATTTGTACCCCAAAATTGCTTATCTGCAGACCGTTGTACATTTAAAAATCTGGTTCAGTTTAGCTTACTCTACTGTGCGTATACATCGTCCATTTTTTACATTTGAATAGGTGCTTCTACTACGCAAATGTGCTATTTAACGGAGACACGATCGCTCATTAATACCTCAATCATTCAGACCATTCTACATGGTTCATTCTCATTACTCATGTACCAGATAAAACATTCATATGCTTTACTTGGCGAATGGCGTCGGCGTTAATGATTGGCTCATCATTTTACTCATCACCATACATAATCTTCCAATTTATGGAAATACATAAGTATGATGTCGTTTTCAATGCCACCGCCGTGCCCTCTCTCTGGTGTGTCCCAGCATCTTGATCCCCATCAGCTTCGCCGGTCCTTTGGTAATTTACTGTCTCCTTTTTAGAAAAGACCCTTGGAAGGAACCTTTTAAATCAAATGAATACTTTCGGTATTGTAGATTATTCGATTGACAAGAGAACTGCCAATCCAGCATATTGCTCGTGATCGTCTCGTCGTCCTAGAATAATCCAAAAATCAAATAAATTAATAACCCCATTTTCACAAGAACGTCTTGCTTTGATCTGTTCTACTTCTCACACTGATTTCGACCTAGTGATCTTAAACCATCGCTGATGTTATATAAGGGACAAGCTCATTGCAAATATTATTTTCAATCAGCTATCGTTGACCATCTTGAAGATCATTGATTCGTGCAATTACATACTCGATTCTGAGCTGACTAAGCTCAATACCTAAATACATATATAGTCACGGATAAAGAGGAAGATGAACAAGTAGATGGAGCAACAACCATGAGTACAATAATCAGGAATATTCTAAATTGCAGAGATACGTTACAAAACCTGATAAATCACATTTAAGAATCGCGTTTGGACTACGACACGCTAGATAAAGCTTTCCTAGTTGGTCAGCAAACACTTAGCAGCCAAATGATATGTTTTTAGGGTCCTCCTCAAGGATGGTAGAATCGTAATGAACCAGTGGCATGATCGATCCCGCATTAGATACATTAGAGGGGGTGTAGAATCGATAGCAAAATAGATAAAATTAAAAATGAATTGCCTCGACTTAAGTAAAACAAACGGTTATGTGGATAGTCCAGCAAAACCTGGTGTCTAGCTAGAAATTTCTTGAAATACACGTTACATTGCCCCGGTGAAGTCAGATTTTTCATCCCCCTGTCTCCACAGTTCCTGCCGTGTAAACTTGATTGTAAAGAGTCAGCAATGAGAGACTCTTATTGGTCCACGGCTACCACCGTCCGGTAACAGGGCTGCAACTTTTCTTAAATAGCTTACACGAAACCTCTTGAGAAAGCTTCAAGCTTAAATGTTTTGTATCACGTAAATTCGAACCCTGATTTTAATTTGTTTAATTTGTACCTATTACAAAAATTCTTAGTCGCACTAAGTACAGCCGTGTTCTCGCCTAATAGAAACCACTAATTTTCAGGTTACTTAATCAATGGTCCATTTTGGGTCCTGAAGCCCCCAATTATGAACCAACAACCACTTACCCCTCAGTACCCGCTAGTCGGGTACAGCACGCGCCTGCAAATGTAGTTGTATAATTTGTTTGTGTTAATCCTGTAAAGTGGCCCATTACATTTTTAGGTTTAAAGTGCAGCGAGAGTAAAGTAAGCCTTTATATGTATTATTTCTTGCATTGCCGTAAAACGGTCGGCAAACTGAAGCAATCCGCCTTAAAATAAGGATAGGAGGATGCGCTGTGCGCTGGGAGGAGAATGCCGCATTTAGGCGCCTGATAATTAATTTTTCGACAAAGGTATAGTAAAATAAACTTAAACTACGCATTTACAGCTTCCGTGATGTCTACTGAGGTCATCCATGCCGCAGTACCAACCACAAAACGGGCATTTTTCTCCGCTGTCTAATAGAATGATTGCCACCTTGAAACACATCTTAAAGCCATGCGATATCGGTGCATCTCGGGCTATGCAATTTAAGTGTCCATGAGACAAGATGTTTAAAGATTAGAGTCGGTGTCAATACTATCATTACAAGTAGAAGCATATAAAGCGACATATTTTAACAGCAATGGTGTTTTTTGGAAGACTAAAACATAATCCACTTTATCCCTCCGACTTAATGTGCTACGCCATGCTACGCACATTACATACCAACCTAAGACAATCATTGACTTTACACGGTAATGGTGCGCGGAAACGTATAATTCTCTATCGCTGATCGCACAAGCAAAAAACCACCTCATGATGTTTCCGGGGCATGTATATGCGGGCTGCTTATATTCACGTTTCTTGTAGCAGAGCTACACAGCTCTTCTGAAAGGAAGAATTACGATTCCAGAGGTCACTTAAACATACGGAGCTAAGTTCTTATAAGTTTTTATCGTTTTTAATTCCTAAAACTAATTTAAGGACAGTCTCAGAAAAACTTTGAGATCGTAGAGCTTCTAGTTCTGGTTCAGGTGATCAATAAGGATTCTACGAAGCTTTTGCACAAAGTGCTCTCAGGTACGCGCCACAAAAGGGCTCTAAAAATTAGCAATCTGCTGACTTCCAAACAAGACACGTGTCAACACTAAATCAAAAGGCGTACTGCTGTTTTTTTCGAGAGTTTTATCTGCATCAGGTTTCAATTAACCACCTAATATGTTTTCTAAGGTAAAACTGCTTCTCATAGATATCTTTAATAAGTTGAGATTTCGATGGATGGTCACCAATTTGTTATTGATAAATGACGGAGGTGATCAACCACAAGAGTTATCACAGATACAACTTGAGGGATTTATACAACATATACACGGTATGCTCATTTCGGGTGGTAATCACCGTGTGACCACGTTACACTTCTACTGTTTACTTCGCCAGGATTTTGTTAGGCATTATCGACATTTGATTAGACATCCTACATTCTCATTTTTCGGTCGTAGCGAAATACAAAATTTGGACTTTACTATTATCTTCAGGCTGTCCACATGTGTGCAGTAGTCTATCCGCGCGTTTCATTATTTTTGTTCGATCCCGTAGCGAGTATAGACGGCTCCCTCAATGTCATCCTTTAACCTATCGCAAAGTGCTAGTACATTGACCGAGCTTCGTGTCGAAGCTCAGTCAATTTGCGATAGAAGTACTTAACTTTTTCACCAGCAAATGTACAAATTTGCATAATAAAGTGGGTGCAAAATTCAAAGTTTTTTTCAGATCCTTCGGTAAAACGGCCAATTATTAACGTTGGATTTTGCAAATCGTGCAGGGTGCATTTAGGTAATTATAACATCGCTTATTCGGAGTCTACGTAGTTTGTAGACGAGTAGGACGCGAACGTCCTAACGTGAAATACAAGTAAACTTGCTTTTCAAAGATTAAAAAATGCTTAAAAATGACTTAATGTTAGGCTAATTAGTGATGTAGAATAATGAGCAAACCGTGAGTTTTTTTCTACACCTTCTCGAAAATAATTATGGCAGTTGGCCGGCAGCTTTCTGTACTTACGAACATTTGTGTCATACATATTGGAATATGACAATGTAGTTAGTTTTGCCAGGATTGTATACTCGAAGAACATTTTGGTACAAAGATCAAATACGTTTGACATCTTACCACGTTTTAAAAGGAGGTATCCATGTGCAACCACCCCAGGTTTTCGCTGCTAACATCCGCCCGTATACATTCCGAAACTTAGTCGGTTTAGAATTAATCGGATTTCCAGGTTCCAAACTGGTCAATTAAAAAGGTTTTATATTTTTATCGACAACCGCCAATGTCATTGCAAAGATTGCATCGTTTCCCTTACATTCATGCACGTTATTTTTTCAGATTCAACTACGACATCAGCGTGAATTAAATACCAACCGAACAAGTTCTTGGCATATACAAAAACTCTTTTTTTTCACTTACACCTCAACACCATGCAACTGTCTATGATACGATGGAGCGAGCTCACCAGACAATAAACGAGCGTACTGTTGTTGAAGGCTATGTTAATCGACCTGGCGTGCCGAAACGGGAACCGAATTAAAGATGGGACCGTGAAATGTATTGGAAAGATAACATAGTGCAGTTAGACTTGTTGACTTCTTACTATTGCAACCAATCATATGAGAAGCAATTACCCATCGAGTTCAGCGTAGAAGTTAAGCAACTATAAAGGGTGATCTTGACAGAACGTTGTAAAAGCTCAACCGAAAAATTCATGTTTTCGTGTCATTTGAGACGAGTGAGGCTGACACGTACACGTGCTGTCCACATAAACGATATAAACAGCTTCCGTTTGAACCTTTAATTAAATATTTGTGGTTTAAAGCATGGACTACTTCCTTTCATTTTTTACTGGCTGACAATTGCTTGGAGGTCGATGTCTTGGATGCTTCATCCGCAATCTGTTCCAAGGGATAACTATCTTGCACTGATCACTATTCTATGTAAGTAGCTTGAAAATGCGACACTCAAATCTGTATTTAGAATTCTTACGTATTAGAGCATCAATTAAAAAAAATTGTTCAAATGCTACGCCCACGTACTTCCTTTTACCGAGAGTTCTACCTCATCCAAAAGTACATTTTCTGACCACGTCAAACGCCATGCTAAAGTATGTCTGTCTCCGTTCACCCTCCACCTCACTACTCTTATTCAATCACAATCGTTTAAAAAAAATTCAAGGTAGCCATATTAGCGAACACATATTACTAATGTGGCGACCTCAATATTCGGCTGTGAACATCTTCCTAACGTTTCCCAAATAAAGCTTGCCGTCCTTGACCACGGCCTTCTCGTACTTCTGTCTTTTTCCGACAACAGTTTCTCCTTATAAGACACGTGCGCACAAATGGCTTGAACTGACATTTTTCTTTCTTTTTACGTGCTGGTGTCTAAAGACACATGCCGCGCTGTGGCAAAACGCGAGCGAAGGGCCGCAAATCCAGGCGAGTTTACCTCACGCATTTTTTTTTGCTGCTCGGGTTTAAGTGTTCAGCAAAGGAAGTATCTGAGTAAAAAAATATCACACGTCGCTGACTGAAGGACATGCGCAAGAATATTCAGATCCCGCATTTTATCCTTTGTAAATGAGATTGTGGATTGGTTCTAAGAATGGTGATATTCTTGATCTTACCAATCAGAAGGCAAAAATTAATCAGCGACGACCATACATAGGGTGGGGATAGTTAAGCAAAACTTTGAAATGGTGTACAAATCCCAAAAAGATACAGAAATTGCTCAGTCTCGGAGTCGATATCATTTGTTTCTGTAAAGTTGGCACAATGGTCAATCTAGTTTCGCTACAGCTCCAATACTCTGCACACAAATTTCCAATCTTTTGCACCGGTCGCACTCACAGAAAATAGCGATCGTATCGCCACAACCGGCGAGGACACGCTGCCCCCACCCATCCTCCCACGTTACATGTGCATGGAGGCAACTTATGCCGCATCAACAGACCGAAACTGAGAAGTTCCAATTCCACGCGCAAGTTCCCGCAGCTCCTTCATCTTTGAAGCGAGAAACTTCATGTCTACGAAATACTGCCTCCTTGCTCGTGCTCCCATCTTCTCACGTTCAGCCGAGGTCATAGTCAGCACTTTGTCGACAGCCTGGCATACACCGGAACCCTTCACGATTCCAGCGTACCCCTCAACCCCTTTCAAGCCATGCTCCCCCTCGAACTTGCCTCCGAGCATCTGCTCCTTATGCGCTTGGCGCTTCACTGTAATGAGAACACCAGACGCAGGAGTCAACAGCTCGTTCATGGGCGGCAAGTTAGTCGACACAATGAGACCGCCACTGGCACGCGCCTGGTTTATGTAGTGGCCGTAACCCTCCATTCCGCTCGGACACATGAAAAAGGCCGATTCTGCCATCAACTTGCCAAACTCAGTAGGAGAAGAGCGGCCTTGATTCATCATCACCTGCGAGCCTCGGGTCTTGTTTTCATATTGATCCTTCAGATGCTCGTCGTAGAACCAATTGTCTACGTACACATCCAAGGGAGGAAAGTCCGGGCGACTGAGCCAGCAATCCAACATCAGCAGTAGTTCCCTTTTGAGCGCTACCACCGATAACATGGATAAAATGCACATCCGACCAGTTCCTTGGCTTGATTGCATCCTCGCCAAGCCGTGTTCTCGCCAACGTTGCAATATCTGACGTCGTGTGCCTCGTGTACAGCACTTTCGTATGACGCGGATTGCCCTCCTGCTGATACCACATTTGTACATAACGAGCACAGATGGCCGTCTTGCAAAGCACGACGTCCACAGCCCAATAGTGTTCAGCCGTCAGCTCATACATTTCAATGTTCGGCATGAGATACAATGGTTTCGTTGCAGGCCATTCCGGTGACTTGGTCAAGTCATCCCAGTAGTGATTGAAAACGATCATGGGCGTCTTCGGGCACAAGTCGTGGTACGAGAACGTCTCGTTCGTTGTGTTGTCCACGTACTTCATTGTGATTGCCCACGCCGGAAGGATCCGCGACTCTAGAACTACACGGCCAGAAAACAAACATCAGTCGGTATCTCAAGCAATTTAACCCTCTCAACTAATCCACACTAGATCAATACAACAGCCACTTACATTTCATATAGGCAGCCGCGTCTTCGCAGTAGCCATGGTCTCGGAGCACCGAGGGCAAAAAGACGTCCACATCTGGACACTGACGCATTTTGTCCAGTAACTGATCATCGTCCTGGTTTATAATGCCACGACTCGCGTTTGACAGCACGTTATCTAGTCCGTATTTCCACATCACGACACTCTCCTTGATGTGTAGGCACCCTTCTTGCAAAAAGCTGAGGTGCAGCATATCAGCTGATCCTAACGTCGTCTCCCAATTTGGACTCGAGGATTTCATCCGGATAAAAGTCGGCCCCCTCGTCCATCTCGGCGTTCAGATACTCCACCGGCACGATGCTGCTCTCGTTGATCATGCTCAGATCCAATAACAGCATCAAGACTCCTGCGCCAATTGCACCAAGCAACAGCTTTAGCATCAAGGGCAGGCGACATCGTCTGCGCTGCGGAGGAGAAGCGCCAGGGGCCTCGGTCTTCTCGCCCATTTAATTAGCTCGCTCAAGTGAGTCAATCAATGAATGGTTTGGATCTAATTCGAGTGGATGTCCCGTAAGCTCGGGACTTTATGGGTGGTGAAACATCGAGGTTTGAAAATATACTGCGATTATTGGATCAAAAAGCACATTATTTTTAGAAGAGCAATGTTAAGTACACCCCATTTTCACCACAGTCCAAACCAAAGGTATGCGGCCACCCCCTTTGTTTTAAGTAATAGCTCTTAAACGAGTACGAGTGAAATGCTGATATTTGAGAACTTTGCGCGAAGCTGTCCTGTATCCCATCGTAGTGCTGACGGTCCCGTTTGTTCCGCTGGCGACATCGCTCACATACAAAAAAGCAGGCATGCGGTCATAATCATACGGCCACATCGGATACAAAATTGCAAGAATGAAAGACTTTTGTTGAATGCTCCGTGTCAACATGCAGTCTTGTATGCCTAGAATGTGTAAGATGCGCAAAATTAGTTGAAGTGAACGGAGATAGACAACACTATAGAAGTAGTTGACTGAGATAGCGCTCTATGGTAAGCAGCGTAGCTGGATCATGGTAGGGCATGACTAAGTTGCTCATGCTTGCGTCATCACGCGCGCGGAAATATGCTCCCGGAACAATGCTTTATTTGGAATGGCAACAAAAATGCGACCTTTCCACAAGACGCCGATAGTGTTAAAATATGTGCATGACAGCCAGAAGTAATTTCCAGTGATCCAGATGCAGGTAAATATAGATTATGGTACTTGCTTCCATGCGAATGAGCAGGTGTTAATGAACGCTAGCGTTGGTCGCGACCAACAGATTTAGGTTTCTGATCTGATTTAAGTTTCCTCTTCCTACTTGCTCACCTATCTCTCCCGAATGCTCATCAAAATAACACGATTCCGAAATCCATGTTTGTAACGGGGCACCCTGAAGCTTGTACTGGTGACAGTACAAGCTGCTTATTCTGATGACAGAATAAGGCGGTGCCTCGGAACTTCACGTACACTGGTACGTGCAGAGGAAGACGGTAAGAAGAAGCGAGTACTTGATTAAAGTAAAAAGTAGAACTGTATTTATAATAGTTTATGTCTGCAATAAATCACTATTAATCTTCATCTAACCATGTCTAAATACAAATGTGTAAATCAACTATCTGCTCACCACTCATTGCGTGCGTCTGTCGTGGCGCGTCCTCGTTGGTTGACATAATGGCCTTTATCAACGAATTGGGAACTACTCGTAAGTGCTACAGAATATTTGTCCTTATGACAATATTCTGAGAATATAACTCTTATAGTTACATTCTATTAACAATTTCTTGTAAATTGTTATGTAACGATTCACCCCGTTACATCACCCCCCCCCTTAACCATCAGTCACTTTAGTGACTGATTGACTAAATGGATACTCGTCCCAAATCATTTGGGACAGGGTTTGAACTTGTTGGTCCACGTCCGCTTTCCAACAGTTCATCGCTTGGTTAACAAGCCCATGCGATGCGCAAGCAAGGCCGCCGAGAGCGCGTCTGCACGTCTCTGTGCGGACGCCGAAGCAGAAACAACAGCACTGATGTCTCATCGGCTGCTGAAGCGACTCAGACTGTGTCACCTGGTGATGCAGGCGCTCATCATGAAGACACTCATGTCTTCACAGAGTGTGAGCTCGGTGTCTCATACTCTCCTGATACGGAAGACGGATCCGTATCGACGGCGATTGAATCTAAGCCGCCTGCCAAGCGTGGCATGGACGATGCTTTGCGTCGCAGCATCTTTGGTTCATCTGATGAGTCAGATGAACCATCGCCGAAGCGAAGGCGCTCGAGGTCGCGAGACTCGGGCGCTAACAGTGGTGTCGGTTCTCATATTGACGCCACTTCGCAACGAGGTGCCAGTACTTCTGTCGGCACATCGCTGGAAGAGCGGAATCGCAATGTCTTGCGTCTCGCTCCCGAGAAGAAGGCATGGATGCCTCCAAAATCTGTCATGGATCGCTTTTCGACGACGACAAGTGATCGTTATCGATCACGATTGTTCGATTCGTCAAGGATCCATCACCTTGACCCCAGCGCGAAAAACTATCGCGCTGAAAACTAGTTCTTCATCAATGCTTTCTTTAGACATCGATGGTTCAGTGGGAATCACAAGCGTGATGGTCCCTCACTACTTCAAGCGTGGAACGCTTACATCCATAACCTTGAGGATGTAGGTCGTGACGCTTGGAACCACAAACTTATCAAAGCTCGTGATAAGTTTAAGAAGCGAACCCCGATAGGTGCACGCTACAAGCTGCATCGTCTGTCAAGAGAGAAAGGATTACCCTGCCTCTCTTGGGGAGACTCGTGCCCATGTTGTGTGAACAACTCTGCACGAGCACCTAAGGAGGCTTACCTCCTTACCAGCTCGTGGTGGCGCGTACGTATCTCTACTGAGATGTGCGAAGGGATTGACAACCTGAAATCCCTTTACGACCGTGCCGGGAAGACTTTCTCCGGCGGTCCTTCTGCGGCACAGGATGTGCCGCGTCGTACTGCTCAACCAGACCCAGTACGTCGATCATCAGTTGGGAGCGGGTCTCCTAAGTATCCCAGGACGGGGGATAGCCGCGCCACCGGACGAGATAACTCGTCCGACGTCCGTTCAAGTCGCGGTGGTTCAACAGCTGCTCAACCAGATAGCGCTGGCCACCGCGAGAGTCCTCTAAAGGAGGTGGAGGAGGAGGGAAACGCTCTCCAAACTATCGTGAGGGAGCGTGTGTTTCCGAGAGCCTCTTTGATCGCGTAACTATTGCGTTGCGCGGCGACCTCGAGCATGAGCGGGACAGGCGTCTCCAACTGGCGGACACTGTCTTGAAGCATCGAGCTGAGTTTGCCTTTGCTCAGCTTGAGAACGAGAGAGCGTTGGCATCTCTGCGTGACGAGCTAAGGGTAGCTCGTGTAGATATCGACCGATCTCGGGCTGAGATAACTGCTCTTCAGACCCTTGTCGATGCCCACCATCGGGAGCACAAGGCTCTCTGCGAGATGCTTGAGCGCAAGGGCTTCCTTCATCGGAAGAAGCAGCGTACTGATGGTACGGCTTAAGCCGATCAACGTAAAACGTGGGATGCGATCCCATCTTACGTGGCAGTTCGATCGTGTATGCGTTGCCTAGGCGATGCAATACACGAAATAGACCGATTAACTTGGGTAGAAGTTTACTACTACCCAAGTTAGTCACTACATTTTTTGGGAGATTAACCGTAGACAGTAGGACTAAGTCACCTTTGTTAAATAAAAGAGTGTTTGCCCTTCCATTCTTATCAGCGTTTTGCTTTTGCTTATCCACCGCTTCGGCGATGGAGTCTTGCACAAAACGGACTACCGTTTCACGAGCCAGTATGAACTCATCTGATGACTCGTTAGCTTCAGTGTGCTATGAGTGCACTGCAGCGACATCACTCTTTTCTTCAGTGAGGGCTTCCGCGCTCTCACTGGCATCATCTTCTTCGATATCGATGTTATCGATATCGGCATCAAACGCAATGACCTCTTCGTCAGAGCGTGATGAGCGTGAACCAAATCGGTTTTTGCTCGCGCGAGTCCCTCTTCCCCTTAAACCAGAGTTACACTCTAGTAAGGTGGGTACACGCGGATGGCGCAAGCCATTCACGTAAAACGGTGTGTGTGTCGTGGACGCATGCACCGAGTTGTTGATGGCAAACTCTACCATTGGCAAAAACTCACTCCAACTCTTAAAGGAGTGTACGTATTCTCGAAGTATCTCTTCAAGGACACGATTGGCACGTTCCGTCTGACCATCTGACTCTGGATGATCAGATGTAGACATCTTCAAGCGCGTTCCGAGTGATTTGAACACGGAACGCCAGAAATCAGCAGTGAATCGTGGATCTCTGTCTGATACGAGTTCACGGGGCAACCCATGAAGTCGGAAGATGGTGTCAATAAAGACACAAGCACAGCCACTTGCCGTGATTGTCTCTGGTACAGCCACAAGGTGTACCATTTTGCTGAATCTGTCAACAAATACGAGAATACCCGTATTCCCGCGTGCGTCTTTGGGTAACCCGAAGACAAAATCCATTGAGATGGATTCTCAGCACTCAGCCGGAACCGGTAGAGGCTGTAAAGGTGCACGCAGTGAAGGACTTGACTTCACTCGTTGGCAGACTTCGCATGCGCGAACATACTTTCGAACAAACTGATACTGGCGGGGCCAGTAAAAGTCTCGACTCACCGTGAGATATGTTTTTTCTCGGCCACGATGTCCTCCTATAGGAGCATCTTGATACTCGAACATGATCCGCAAGTGCAGATCAGTATCTTCTGGAATGACAACACGTGGTGTGTCACCAGAAACGGCTGTATAATACAGTAACCCGTTGCGAGTAGTGCATCGATTTGATGCAGATCGATACGCAGGCGACAATCGTTTCAACGATTATCGAGATGGTTGGGAGAGATGTGTCAACAACTTCACAATCTCATCATCTTGGGCGTATGCCCGCCTCACATCATCATACAACGTTGTAGATGGGACTGAGAACGTCATAACCGCAACAGTGAATGTCTCACTGTTTGGTTTCGCGACTGTTTCAAAGTCGGGACGACGTGAGAGTGCATCAGCGACGACATTAAGTCGTCCTGGTTTGTACTCGACCGTAAAGTTGCATTCTGCAAAGAATGACAACCACCGCGCCATTCGTTGTGAAAGGTGCGGGCTGTTCACTGCCGTGCGTAATGACGCATGGTCAGTGTAAACAATATAGGGTCTATCTCCTAATATATAGACTCTGAACTTCGCGAGTGCATACTTCATGGCAAGGTGTTCCTTGTCATGCACTGGATAGTTCCGCTCAGCTGGTTGCAGCTGACGAGACTGATAGCAGACGACGCGTTCAACGCCTTCAAGGTCGTACTGCATTAATGCACAGCCGATTGCGAAATCGCTGGCATCACAGACCACATGAAATGGCCTGTCCTGATCGGCAATTGCTAGGACTGGGGATTGTATCAAGCTCTGCTTGATACCCTCAAAGGAGCGTTGACATCCAGCGTTCCATATCCACCTCTCGTTCTTTTTCAACAAACGAGAGAGGTGCACAGTCATCTCGGCGTAATTGCGTGAATACTTATGCAAATACGCCGCTAGCCCAAGGAATTTTCGAAGACCTTTGACATCGACCGGCACAGGCCAGTCGGTGATCGCCTTGATCTTTTCGGGATCAGGACGTACACCGTTCTTACCAACGATGCACCCAAGAAGTGGTATTTCGCTTGCTGCAAATATACACTTCTTGAGGTTAGCATACAATTGATGCTTTCGCATGATTGTAAGAACTTGTCAGACGTGGTACCTGTGAACCTCAACGTCCGACTTTCCATCCATAGCCCGACTATGGATGAATACGTCATCGAAATAACTCGGCGCAAATTCTCGTACTGGTCTCAACAGATGTGATACACATCTGTTGAACGTGGCAGGGGCATTACTAAGCCCTTGTGGCATTACTAGCCATTCCCAGAGCATGCCGCTAGGCGTGCTAACTGCGGTATAGGGTATATCCCGTTCCCGCATAAGGACTTGATAGAAGCCATCCATCAAATCCATGGACGAAAAGATGGTACTCTTTGACATACCATCAATGATTACGTCCTTCCTCGGTATCGGCGTCTGAGCCGGTACCGTTGCAGCGTTCAATTTGTTGAACGCGTGCACTATCCGCCACCCTCCTGTTGCTTTTCGCACACAGAAGGTCGGAGATCTACGTGGGGATGTTGGTTCCCTCAAATGACCAGCCGCTAATCGGTCGGCAAAGAATTTGGAGATCACTGTGACCTGTTCACGAGGCAGTAGAAACTGCTTCATGACACAGTACTTCGAACCAGGTTTCAGTTCGATCTCATGCCGAGTGCCTTTGCCTTTGGGCAAATCGCATGGCACGGATTCCGGGAAAACATCCCTGAATTCCACCAAATCCTTATACAAAGGATTTGTCTCTAGAGACTCCCAAGATTAAGACGTGTATCGCTCAATCCGGGTCTTCTCATCGAGGAAACTCTCGTCCATAGATGAGCTACTGAGAACCCGTTCGTTCTAAGTAAACAAATTTGCTGATCAAGTTTCGGCGACGTACTCGCCCTCTGTGACGAGTACGCAGATCTGCTTGACTTTGCCACTACGCAGATCACGCAAGAACCTTTTATGTTCGAGCGTTGGCAACTGAGTGATCTCCGAAGTCAACTTCGGAGGCGCAATCAGATCAAGTGTATAAGCGCCTACAGTTGATCCGTTATTGACTAGGACATTTAATGTATCTGTCATTTCCTGGGGACTTATTCCCTCAGGCCTCGAAGGACTTATTCCTTCGTCTTCCCGGGGACTTATTCCCTCAGGTTTTGGAGAACTTATTTCCGCCGTATTTGTAAAATCAAGACTTATTCCCTTAACTTCCTCTACGAAAGACCCTCCAGTCGATCTAGGACTATCGTTTCGCTTTACCTGAGCGATCGATTGTTTCTCTTCTAGATGTTCCCCGCTAGGGATACATCTTTGTCCCGGTCCACTCGACTTATTCGAGTGGTGGACCTTCGGCGCAGCCTGTGTTTCCTCACAGCCGCCGGAACTTTGCTCCGAAGTGTAACCGTTTGGTACACTAAGGTTTTGTGCATTCGTACTAACGACCGTACCACAAGTGAGGCCATCGCACTCACTCGTAGTACATCCACACGCTTGTGGACGCTCCAAAACGTTCATCAGATGGCCATCTGATGAACAAGCGGCAGGCATCGTTACTGTTCGATGTTGCCAGTTTACCCGTGGTTCGTACCTTCTGAGCCACGGTATTCCAAGGATGACATCAAATTTGTCATCCAAATCCAATACGATAAAGTCATCGTCATATTGGGTATCTTCTAGCGTATAGTGGATCTTCACTATACGCTTCATGACGGTTACGGATGCGCCTGTCGCAAGACGTACCGTCATCCTCGTAGGAGGTGTGTCACATTCACTGAACTTAAAGTGACCATCTTCTAGCGATTGGCGTCGCACAAAATTGTTGGACGCCCCACAATCGACTAGAGCTCGAAGGGACAACTTATTCGTCACTTCGAGTTTCAAGGTAATGAGTGAGATCTCATTACCTAGAGCAGCAACGCACAACGTTTGTGTGTTGGGAGCAACCTTCATCAAGAGGCCTACAAATTCTCTTGACGTTGCTGGACCAGTAGGGTGCTCCGCACCTACTGATCCTGTCCGTTTTTTGACGGTCCATCCCGTTGTTGCGTCTTTGCACCAACAGCGGACCCGCGTCCCTGCCCCTTTCTCATGGGTGGACGGTCACTACGCCCAGTGTTGCGAGACACTGGACGAGGGGCACTACACTCGTAAGCGTAGTGTCCTGTCTTTTGACATCTGTTGCATCTCTGCAACTTCTTGTAGTCTGTAGAGCGAGCCTTCTCGCTCTCTACATAACAGAGTTCCATCGGCTCTGGACCTCCGCTGTCATATCGTCTCGGCTGACGATATGATGTCGAGCTGGCGCGAGCCTGTCTCAGACTGAAGTCTTCCTGTTCCGCAATGGAAATGGCTTGTTCTAGGGAATCTAGTTCAAGCCGGAACAGGTGAGTCTTGACGGGACCATCCGCAAGACCCTGCATGAACACCGAAACCAACGTGTGTTCATCCACCGGATTGGAACTTATACAACTCGTAAGATGTCGTATATTTGCGCGTAAGCGTGCACATCACGCTTACCCTGTTTGAGCTTCAAGAGTTCGGTTCGAGCTCTGAACTCAGCTCTAGGCGGTTCAAACGTTTGTCTGAGCCGCGACTTGAAGACTCCTAACAACCCAAACGCATATGGGTCGCGCAACTTGAGCCCCAGTGCCCAAGTCTTGGCACGTCCTGCCAGATTTGACTGGGCAAATGCAACTTGCATATCCCCGTCGTCGATGCGACGCGCCCTTATGGCGTCATCCAATTCGACGAACCATCTCAAGAGGGAGTCCTCTTCGACTCCCCTATACTTGGAGATGTCAATCTTCAAGGTCTCGGGTCGACGCGAGTGCATCGACCCACCAGCAGCAGCCTGCTGCTGTCTCAACAGTTCAAACTGTTGAGCACCCTGTTCTCTCAACAACTCTGCTTGTTGAGAACCTTGTTGGTGAAGCAAGGCTACTTTCTCGCGTTCTGCGTCAAGTTCATTTTGAATGAACTTGGCGATAGTAGCATGTTGGGCATCTCTATTGAGAGCCTCTAGCATGACGCTAACAGCATGGATGCCCATGGTTGAACCCATCCGTTCAACCGCATCCCATTCGACATCGCTCAAATGGGAGTAGCCGTCACGCGTAGCGTGAAAGCTTTGGTCATCTTCATCATCCAACATATTCATGTTAGATGTGAACGTGGTCCTTGGACGGACTACGAAGTGCTACCAGGTGTAACGGGGCACCCTGAAGCTTGTACTGGTGACAGTACAAGCTACTTATTCTGATGACAGAATAAGGCGGTGCCTCGGAACTTCACGTACACTGGTACGTGCAGAGGAAGACGGTAAGAAGAAGCGAGTACTTGGTTAAAGTAAAAAGTAGAACTGTATTTATAATAGTTAATGTCTGCAATAAATCACTATTTATCTTCATCTAACTATGTCTAAATACAAATGTGTAAATCAACTATCTGCTCACCACTCATTGCGTGCGTCTGTCGTGGCGCGTCTTCGTTGGTTGATATAATGGCCTATATCAACCAATTAGGAACTACTCGTAAGTGCTACAGAATATTTGTCCTTATGACAATATTCTGAGAATATAACTCTTATAGTTATATTCTATTAACAATTTCTTATAAATTGTTATGTAACGATTCACCCCGTTACAATGTTCAACAGCTTGTTCTGGAGATCCGGTCACCACTCGGTAGGTGCGGTCGCGCTGACTGATGTGAGTCACCCACTCATTTCCAGTAATTTTCTTTGTCAGTGTCGCTCGCACTGCTTAAGCCCTATTTTTGTGCGTATCTCTACAAAACATGGTGCTACAAGCGCCGTAGTATGAAGGTTTCCACCAGTTTTACTATGTAGAATTCGACCCTGGTCTGATCGTCATAGCTTACACCGCGTACTAACATTAACTCCACATCGACGTGCCTTGTAAATGCAATAGATGCTTCTGATCCATATCTGCTGAGTTGCCCCCTTGTTGTCGACCTTGAAAAACAATGGTATCGCCACTTTGATCTGACACTCCCAAAGAAGCGCGCTGAAACCTAATGACTCATTTGCTTTAATAGATCCAGCCACGACCTTCGTCACGGCCGTTGAGAGAGCCATGTCACCTCCGTGTGACAAGGCACCCTTTGTTTTGGGGTGCCGCGAAACTTCACGTACACTAGTACGTGCAGAGGAAGCTTAACTACTTGAACGACTCGATCAAGTAAAGTTAAAAAGAGAACTGTATGTAACATAGTTAAGCTATCAAAATAACTTTAATCCTTATCTAACTAAATTAAACTACGCCGTCGTATGACGACAGCCTGCTCACCACTCATTGCGCGCGTCTAGCAGCGATTGGTGGTAATCTATGGTTGATAAGTCTTAGATCAACCAATCTTAGAGCAGCAAATGGATATAATCCAAAAGGGGATAAAATCCCTTCAAAGTTACCCATCTCGGATAATATCGGTAATATACTGTCACGCTAGACAATACACATATGGATACCGTTTGGTGTCAATTTCATGTAACGGGCTACCCCTTTACATCACGCCTACTCCCCTTAACCATCAATCACCCGTTGACTGAATTAGAATTGATTGGGACAGGGTGACCACCGTTGGATCATTGTGGGAAAGGGAGCGCTTGTTTGTCAAATTCCATTTATTTGCCAATCCAACGCATGGTTTCAAAAACCACGCGAGCTGCTACTGCAGCAACGAGAAAGGCGGCTGCACGCATGCGTGCGGCCGCGGAAAGTGCCTCTCACGCCTCAGCAGCAGGCGATTCGTCGCCTGTTGTCGTGAATCCTCCACGTGGTGAGTCACCACGTGCGACAGGTACATCCGTTGCGTCTGCAGCGGGTACCTCGAGTCGTAATCAAGACGAGTCTGAGATAGAGCTCATCTATTCTGGCGAGTCGGATGATGCATCCGACTTCAAGGCGACTCCTCACGCCTCGGGATCACCAGGGGCGGACACTGCAAAAGCCAGGCTGACTGGCTCTGGTCAGCGCGGCAGCATCATGACCGAGATCTTCGGATCGAGTGATCCGATGAGTCTCCGCCTCACGCAAGTCCATCCAACGATAGGACGCGTGGAGATGGTGGTGATGCACCTATGCATCACCACGAGCGAAGCAACTCAAGGGATTGGGGTCACACTGGTGCCAGGGCTCATGCTGGCACCAATCAAGAGGCCAGGGACCGAAAGTCCTGCGCTACGCTCCTCAAGTGGAGTCTCCATGGATGCCGCCATTTATAGATTTGGACCGGTCGGCCGGCACGAATACCGAACGGGATCGAATCTCGTTGTTCGATTGCAGGAAGATTTGCCCTCCTGATTCCAGCACGGAAACTATCCGTACTGAGGAAGAGTTCTTCACCGACGCGTTCTTCAAACATCGGTGGTACAATGGTAGCCATGTACGAGACGGAAAAGCCTTGGTGCAGGGATGGGATGCCCTCATCCACAACATCGAGTGTGTTGGCCGTGAGGCTTGGCTCGCCAAACTTGATGCAGCTCGCATCTGGTTTAAGAAACGCAACCCCGTCGGGGCGCGACACAAGTTGCACCGGCTTTTAAGAGAGGCAGGATTACCCTACTCTCGTGGGGTGATTCGTGTCCAGGTTGCCTGGACAACTCGAACCGTGCCGCTAGGGAGGCCTACCCCTCCCTCCCTGTTCCCTACTGGAGGTCGCGCATCTCTTCCGAGATGGCCGAAGGGATCGACACTTTGCAAACCCTATACTCGCGTTCGCGGTGGTCGTTTTCCGACGGCCCTTCTTCAAACGCAGCGAATGGGTCTCGTCGTACTGCTCGACGAGACGAATGACATCGACAATCAGCTGGGCACGAGGCTCCCAGCTGTCCCACGCCGGTGGATAGCCATGCCAGCGGACGAGGTAACTCGTCCGGACGCCATTCACATCGCAGTGGTTCAAAATACGCTCCACTAGGAAGCGTTGACCACCACTTGAGTCCACCAAAGGATGTGGTGGCGGTGGGAACACCTGATCTGGCTCGGGGTCCGATCAGATTGATTTTCAGGAGCTGAATCGTGTAACGGAACAGTTACACGATGACCTAACTCATGAACGGAATCGGCGTTACGAACTTCGTGACCTTGTGAAGGAACCATACGATTTCTTATCGCACTGTCGTTCGAACGACCGTGCCGCGTTTGCGTTTGCGCAACTTGATAACGAACATTCGGTTCGTTCTCTTCGTGACGAGCTGACTGGAGCTCGTCAGGATATAGCTCAACTGCATGGGCAGGTCGCTTCGCTAGTCGATTAGACTGGCTTGTTGAAACGGGACCACTCGAAGGTGGTCTCGGCTCTTGACCGCGGAGGTGTTCTTCGTCTCTCAAAACAGGCTCTTACTGATCATACAGGTGGAGAAGCTCAGCGTAAAGCGTAGAATGCGTACGGATCCCGCGAGGCAGTTCAATCGTGTATGCATTGCCCATGCGACGCAATACACGAAATGAACCGATGTACTTGGGCAGTAATTTACTGCTGCACACGTTAATCACTACAGGTTATGTTGGTATAATTGTTAAATAACGGTCTCCTGCATTATATGAAAGAGCATTTGCTCTTCCATGTTTGTCTGCGTTCTTTTCTGTCTGTCTAGTGCATCTGCATTTTGAACTTGAACGAAGCGGACAACCGCTTCGCGAGTCAGCAGAAATTCCTCTGCTGATTCATCCTTGTCAACAGCAGTGCGCTTCGTGTGCACTGCTGAAAGAACGTTGTCTTCACCAGTGAGGGTGCCATCGTCCTTACTTTGGCAGTCGCTAGCGATGCTGAACATACCAGCATCGTCGTCATCATCGTCATCGGTGTCGATCTCATCAACATCGGCAACCATCACGCCGACACCATTGTCAACGTGCGATGAGCAAGAACCAGATCGGGTTTTGTTCGAGCGAGTTCACCCCTTCTCTTAAACTAGAGTCAAACTCTAAGAAGGCGGGTAAACGTGGATCGCGTAGGTCATTCACAAAGAACGATGTATGCGTTGTCTACGCATGCACCGAGTTGTTGATGCCGAGCTCCGCCATCGGCAAGAACTCACTCCAACTCGTAAACGAGTGGACGTACCCTCGAATTATGTCTTCGAGGACGCTGTTGACGCGTTCCGTTTGACCATCTGTTTCGGGATGGTCAGAACTTGACATCGTCAAACGTGTTCCAAGTGAACGGAACACGCATTGCCAGATCTCCGCTGTGAAGCGGGGGTCCCTATCGAACACGAGTTCACAGGGTAACCCGTGAAGTGGGAAGATAGTATCGATAAAGACACGAGCACAGCCCTGGGCTGTGATCGACTCCGGTACAGCAACAAGATGTTCCATCTTGCTGAACCGATCAACAAACACAAGAATACCAGTATTCTTGTGAACGTCTTTGGGGAACCCGAAGACGAAGTCCATCGATACGGACTGCCAACACTCTGCCGGAATCGGTAGAGGCTGAAAGGGTGCGCGGGATCAAGAAACTAGGCTTCACCTTTTGGAAAACTTCGCAAGCGCAAACGTATTTGCGCACAAACTCATACTGGCGGGGCAGTAGAAGTCACGACTCACCATGAGGTAAGTCTTTTCTCTACCGAGATGTCCACTTGTTGGGGCAACGTGACACTCATACATGATGCGCAATTGCAAATCATTCTTAGCGGGAACGAAGACACGAGGTGTGTCTCCGCTGAATACTGTATAGTACAGCAGTCCATCACGAACCGAATACCGTTCGGTTGAAGAGCAGTATTGAGACGAAAAGCTTTTCAAAGCTTGATTACACGGATTGGATACGTAATCCATCAACCGCAAAAGAGACTCATCTTCTGTGAATCTTTTCGCACGTCATCGAGCAGATTCGACAACGGAACACTCACTGTTAGTGTCGCGACAGTGGGATCACCCCTACTGTTGGGTTGAGCAGTCGGCTCGAAATCGGGCCGACGCAAAAGAGCATCAGCGACGACATTAAGTCGTCCTGGTTTATACTCGACGGAGACGTTGTACTCCTCGAAGAAAGACAGCCACCTCGCCATTCGTTGCGAGAGGTGTGGACTGTTTACGGCCGTGCGTAACGACGCATGGTCGGTATAAACGATGAAGGGTCTATCTCCTAAGAGATATACCCGAAACTTGGCCAGTGCATATTTCATGGCAAGGAGTTCCTCGTCATGAACCGGATAATTTCGCCTAGCTGCTTGCAGCTGAAGCGATTGATAACAGACGACGCGCTCAACGCCGTCTGAGTCGTACTGCATTAACGCGCAGCCGATCGCAAAATCGCTGGCGTCACAGACCACACGGAATGGTCTGTCATGGTCTGCAAACGCCAACACATTCGATTGTATCAAGTTTCTCTTGATACCTTCAAAAGAGTGCTGACACTCAGCACTCCATGACCACCTCTCGTTTTTGTTTGACAAACAAGAGGGATGTACGGTCATCTCGGCGTAGTTGCGCGAGCACTTGTGCAAGTACGCCGCCAAGCCAAGGAACGTTCAAAGTCTCTTGACGTCGACTGGTACAGGCCAGTCTATAGTCGCCTTGATCTTTCCTGAATCAGGGCACACGCCTATTTTACCCACGATGCAGCCAAGAAGTGGTATGTTCGCTCGATGCGAGTATACACTTCTTGAGGTCCGCGAACAACTTATGCTCTCGCGTTAGTGTAAGAACCTTTTGGACGTGGATTTATGAACCTACACCTCCGTCTTTCCATCCACAGCCTGGCTATGGACTAAGACATCGTCGAAGTAACTCGGTGCGAAGTCGCGCACCGATCGCAACAGATTTGTAACACATCTGTTAAACGTTGCGTGGACGTTACTTAGCCCCTGTGGCATCACTAGCCACTCCCAGAGCATACCACTGGGGGTGATCACTGCTGTGTACAGGATGTTTCGTTCACGTATGAGAATCTGATAGAATCCATCCATCACATCCATGGATGAAAAGATGGTACTCTTTGCCATACCATCTATGATGACGTCCTTCCTAGGTATCGGCGTTTGAGCCGGTACCGTTTGCAGCGTTCAATTTGTTGAACGCGTGCACTATACGCCACCCTCCTGTGGCCTTTCGCACACAGAAGTTTGGAGATCTACGTGGGGATGTTGGTTCCTTCACATGACCAGCCGCTAATCGGTCGGCAAAGAATTTGGAGATCACTGTGACCTGTTCACGAGGCAGTGGAAACTGCTTCGTGACACAGTACTTCGAACCAGGTTTCAGTTCGATCTCATGCCGAGTGCCTTTGCCTTTGGGCAAATCGCATGGCACGGATTCCGGGAAAACATCCCTGAATTCCACCAAATCCTTATACAAAGGATTTGTCTTTAGAGACTCCCAAGATTAAGACGTGTATCGCTCAATCCGGGTCTTCTCATCGAGGAAACTCTCGTTCATAGATGAGATACTGAGAACCCGTTCGTTCTAAGTAAACATATTTGCTGATCGAGTTTCGGCGATGTACTCGCCCTCTGTGACGAGTACGCAGATCTGCTTGATCTTGTCCCTACGCAGATCTCGCAAGAATCTTTTAGATTCTAGCGTTGGCAACTCGACCACCTCCGAAGCTGACTTCGGGGGCGTCACGAGATCAAGTGCATAAGAGCCTACACTTGATCCGTCATTCACCAAGACATTAACTTACTCGGTTGTTTCCTAGGAAAACACATCCGCAGGTGGTTGGGGATCCACACCCTCAACATAACTCTATTGGGAGTTATTGCTCTCAGGAACGCCGGAATTTTCTTTCGTAACGTCCTCTTCGATCGAATCACTTTCAGTCAAACGGGCTAGCTCTACGACCGAATCTCTGATAGTCGGTCGAGATTTAACGTGTTGTCCATCCTGAACAACACCCGTTTCTCTTCTTTGATGCACCCTGCTTGGTGTGCATCCGTGTTCCAGTCCACTCGATCTCTTCGATTGGTGAACCTTCGGCGCATCCTGTGTCTCTACACAGGTGCCGGAAGCTGGTTCCACAGTGTAGTGGCCTTCTACACTGTGATCTTGTGCAATCGTACCAGCGACCTTACCACAAGTGAGGCCATCGCACTCACTCGTAGTACATCCACACGCTTGTGGACGCTCCAAGACGTTCATCAGATGGCCATCCGATGAACAAACGGCAGGCATCTTCACGGATCGATGCTGCTAGCTAACCCATGGCCGGTACTTTATAAGCCATGGTATACCAAGGATGACATCAAATTTTTCATCCAAATCTAATACGATAAAGTCATCATCGTAATGCTTTCATTCTAGCGTGTAGTGGATTCCCACTACACGTTTGTTCACTGTTACGGATGCGCCTGTAGCAAGGCGCAACGTCATCCTAGTTGGAGGGAACTCTCGCTCAACATAGTTGAGCCTACTACCTTCTAGCGACTGGCGTCGAATGAAACTGTTCGACGCACCACAGTCAACTAGGGCGCGAAGTGACATTTCACTTGTCACTTCGATCTTCAAAGTGATGAGGGACACCTCATCACTAGGGGCAGTAACACACAGCGACTGCGTGTTGGGAGCAATCTTCGTCAAGAGTCATGCAAATTCTCTTGACGTTGCTGGATCAGCAGAGTGCTCCGCCCCTACTGACCCTGACCGTTTTTTGACGGTCCGACTTGCTGTCGCGGCTGGCGACATGGTCGGACCCACGCCTCGGACCCTTCCTTGACCAACGGCGGTCATCACGTCCTATCTTTGGACGTGTTGCAGTGCTCGGGACACGACACTCATGAGCGTAGTGTCCAATCTTCTGACAACGATGGCATATTGCAGTTCGCTTGTGACTTAGAGATCGAGAGTTCTTGCTCTCGATGTAACAGAGGTCCATAGGTTCGGGACCTCCTGTTTCCTGTCGCCTCGTCGGACGATAGTTGGACGAGTTAGCCTGAGAATGTCTCAGGCTGAAGTCTTCTTGTTCCGCATACGCTATCGCCCTTTCCAGCGTATGGAAGTCCTCTCGGAACATGTAGGTCTTCACCGTCCCATCCACAAGGCCGTAGATGAACACGTTGATGAGCGTGTGCTCATCAACAGGGTTATCCGTAACGCTACTCGCAAGGTAGCGCAGGTGCTGTGCGTAAGCGTGCACATCACGCTTAACTTGCTTTAGCCTCAAGAGTGCAGAGCGTGCTCTGAACTCGGCTCTCGGCGGCTCAAACGTCTCTTCAAGACGAGACTTCAAGATATCCAACGACTCAAACACGTTTGGGTCGTGAAGCTTGAGCCGTAAGGCCCAAGTCTTTGCTCGTTCCGTCAAATTTGACAGGGCGAAGGTGACTTGCATCTCGTCACCCTCGATGTGACGGGCCCTGATGGCATCGTCTAACTCGACGAACCATCTCAAAACGGAATCTTCATCGGTTCCCTTGTACCTTGAGACATCAATCTTCAAGGTTTCGGGTCTACGCATGTGCGTCGGTCCGCCCATCGACTGATGAGAGCCTTGCTGCTGTAGCAAGTCTTTTTTCTTCTGTCGTCCGACGGCAAGATCCCTTGTAGGAACTTGTTGATAGCAGCATGTTGCTGGTCTCTGCTTAGAGATTCCAACATACCACTAATGCCGGGTTCGTCCATGAGCACACCCATGTGGCCGACTGTCTCCCATGCTGAGTCACTCAGATGGGAGTAGCTTTCACGTGTGACGTGAAAGCTGTCGTCTTCTACGTCCAACATGTTCATGTTGGAAGGACACTAAGTATTAGTTGGACGGACTACGAAGTGCTACCAGGTGTAACGGGGCACCCTTTGTTTTGGGGTGCCGCGAAACTTCACGTACACTAGTACGTGCAGAGGAAGCTAAACTACTCGAACAACTATGTTAAGTAAAGATAAAAAGAGAATTGTATGTAACATAGTTAAGCTATCAAAATAACTTTAATCCTTATCTAACTAAATTAAACTACACCGTCGTATGACGACAGCCTGCTCACCACTCATTGCGCGCGTCTAGCAGCGATTAGTGGTAATCTATGGTTGATAAGTCTTAGATCAACCAATCTTGGCGCAGCAAATGGATATAATCCAAAAGGGGATAATATTCCTTCAAAGTTATCCATCTCGGATAATATCGGTAGAATATTGTCATACTAGACAATATTCCTATTTACACCGTTTGGTGTCAATTTCATGTAACGGGCTACCCCGTTATATAAACACCATAATAAATGCTTTTTACCTTCCTCTTTGGCTGCAACCAAGCCACACAGTTATTTGTGCTTCGATTTATCAACTTTTCGTCGAACAAAAGTGACGCAATTAACGTTTACATTAGCAGCTTTCTAAACAGCGATCTTTGCATCCGCAGAAGTATCGTGCGCATCTTCCAGAGCAAGTGTCGCAGAATTTAACCACATAGTATTTTTAACCAAGGTTCGAGTTTAATTTACAAAGGCGTTTTGATCGAG